GCTTTTGCAGGCGCCGACGGCGCACAGAGGGTATTAAGAACTAAAAGTTGGCCTAAAAAATTATGTTTTATGATTTTTTTGCTTTTTTGCTAGTAATATTAATTATTAGAGGAGAGGGTGCTAATATGGAAGCTCATTTTGTTTTTCCTATACAATATTTTTTCCTCTACTCTGAAACCCTTTCCACCGATCAAATAGGGCCATTCTGTGCAAAACCAAGCAATTGGATGAGGATGCTAGAACAAGAAAGTAATTTGTATATTATCGACGATATTTGAGCGAGGATGGGTGTTATAGGGTAAAGACTATTTTCTTTAAGAATCTATTTAAATCAATGTTTTTTTGGTAGTGGTAAATATTGGCAAGATTTTTGTACATATTCCAAAGCTGGAGACTTTAAGCATTGAACGGATACTAATTTCAATGCGGAATATTGCCGAATAGTCTTACACCTTATAAAAATGCCTCTGATTTTTTAAATATAAAACATTATAAAGAAATAGAATAGAAGGAAACGTTTCAACAGGACTTGCCAGCTGGCTCTGTATCCATCATGACAGTTATTATAAACAATTTGCAAAAAAAGTACTACAAACAATTCCACTATTTTATAATCTTAGAAATATTCAGAATACACTCAAGATAATTCATACTTGTAATTGAAATATATTATTTATTTGATAGTCAACTTACGACTTAAAAAAAACTAATAAACGTGCTTACATTTAGTATTTATAGATTTGTATTCAGTTAAAATAAAAAATGAAAATAAAAAAAATATCACTTTTGGCCAGGTTTATAGACCAAATACCTCTATGTGCGGCCCCGGCGCGGCGATTCAATATGGTTAGGTTAGGTTAGTTAATCAGGTAAATTTCCTCTTAATTAGTTACTTCCGAACCCTGTTCGCATCTCCGAAAAAGCCATATAACAATACACGTGATGCATATACGCAAAGTTACGCATCACGTGTATTGTTATATGGCTTTTTCGGAGATGCGAGATGTGAGCCATATTTGAAGATGCGAGTGATCAAGAATAGGTGCCCAGAGACGGCGCTAGCTGCCGGAAAGCAGAAACCTGCCTCCACTATGTTCGCACCCTAATTCTTGGCACCGACTATTTAACTGCTTAGGCATTTTTCGAAGAAAAAACTAACAACTACTACACAAAATATTCTGAAAACAACAGTTTTCGATCGATAGATAAAGGTTTTAAAAGATACAATACACACGAGACACAACTCTCAACTAACGTTCAGAAAATTCTGACAAATGTCAAATAAACGTGGCACCGCTGCAAACGCTACCTCGCCGTTGCCAATATAATATCGAGTGGGAGATTTAAAACTCATTGAAAACGTCCCATAAGGGCTATATTTGTGTAGTGGTAGCACTGCACACATTTATTAGCCTAATCGATAGCCCGCAACGGTTTTTATTTTTTACGACCTATACAGGGTGTCCCAGAAATAAGTGCAAATATTTTAACTGGTAGTATAGTTCAACCCCAGAAACACGTCTATGAGGTTTTTTTTGCGAAAAAAAAATGTTGAAAATTTAAAATTTTTCTTGACATTTTCCGGGAAATTTGAAAAAACTTTTTAGTGCCACTTGTTTATTCACCTGAGATTTCTCTACGGTGTATCTAAACCTTGCAGTGTTGCAACCTCCTATGTTATCCACATTCTACATAGTTCTACATTTATAAATTCATAGAACAATTTCTACTCAGAAATTAGGAATGTTAAATTTTATCAGTGCTCATTATTAATAATTATTATAGAAAAAAACACATTAATTATTTTAGTACTTACCCTTTCAATGAAAACTTAACAAAAACCACCGAAAATTAACTAAAACATTACGTTTATGACGTTTACGAAAATGATTCATCATATTATTCACAACCAGGTCACAAAAAAGAAATTCCTAAAATGTTTATCGTAATTTAGAATTCATTATTTGTTTTCTTTCATGTTTCTCTGTTTTATTTGAACCACTGATTTACAAAACACCTTGAAAAGCGCACATTACTTTGAATATCGTCTCTTATCGCCACTTTACGAACTACTTTCAATCTAAGACATGTTTCACTCAACAGTTTTAAATACGTATTTTGTTTTTTTCGCTATTTTTGCGATGTATTTTGACAGCCCAAACGTCGCGCGTCGGCCAAGAGTGCCACGTGTGAACTGGTCCTTTGAGCCGCGCCGTCGTGGCAGGCTTGCGTCAGACGACGATGTTAAGCAACGTTGCTGTAGTTACAACAATTTCAAATTCAAGACATTCGAAGCAATCAAATTTGTATTAAATTTTAAAAATAAAACAGAGAAACATGAAAGGAAACAAACAAAACGAAAATGAATTGATTATTCATCGGGTTGTTTTCGATATATTGAATTCTGAATTACGATAAACATTTTAGAAATTTCTTTTTTGTGACCTTATCAATAATCAATTCATTTGTGTTTTGTTTGTTTCCTTTCATGTTTTTCTGTTTTATTTTTAAAATTTAATAAGAATTTGATTGCTTCGAGTATCTTGAATTTGAAATTGTTGAAACTACGGCAACCTCGCATGACGCAAGCTCGACACGCCGGCGCGACAAAGAAGTAGTGAGCAATTACCAACCAGTGATGCGTGGCTGTCTTGGCCGACGGTTGGACTGTTGACGGAATTGTCGAAATACATCGAAAAAATAGCGAAAAAGCAAAATACGTATTTAAAATTGTTGAGTGAAACATGTATTTTCTTAGATTGACAGTAGTTCGTAAAGTGGCGGTAAGAGAAATAATTCTCAACATTTATTCATTCAGAAAGATATTCAAAGTAATGTGTAATGTGTGCTTGTCAAGGTGTTTTGTAAATCAGTGGTTCAAATTATGATGAAGCCTATATGAAAATAATGTGTTAAGTTAAAATGGGGACTGTTATTTTAGCAGTTTTTATAATAGCACGTACAAGTAAAGCAGCACAATGAAGTGTATTTTAGTTAAGTGTGTATCGAAAAAGAGAACTGTCGCAGTTACATCGATCTGTCATAAGTATCTTTTTTAATGTTGGGTAAGTTTTTTAATTTAACTTTTAAACATTTAACTTTTAATTTATTTTATGTAATAATATCACAATGTTAAAAATGTAATGCATCTCTGCAAACTCCTCAGGTGTTGTGATTTTATGACTTACTTGTAAACATATACTTTCTTGTCCATATGGCAACACAGTGCGTCGAATTAACTGAAATCCGGGCTTGATCCGGGTAATTGGATGTAGTTGGCAATATCTGCCGGCGGTTCTCAAAATGTTGCGATTATTTTTTTAAATTTTCAAAGTTAAATAACTCGGTTATTTTCAATTTATTTTAAAAATGGTAAAGAGAAAATATGTTTATTTTGACCAGATCTACCACCCTTTAAAATATCTGCACTCATTTCTGGGACACCCTGTATATAAAAGGCGCGCGATCGGCAATTGGGACAGTTTGAAGTTTGAATATCTTCTTACAGTGCCATACTCTATATAGAGCGTCGGTTACCTCTCGCATGTCCTTGTGATGTGTGTCATCAGTGTTTCACAAGTACACGGGACCTACAGTTTATCGCCGAACCCGAACGGCACTATTTGAGAGGCTGTAGAAGGCAAATATACTCAAGGTGGTTTGCCAGTGCTTTCCTTGAGGTGGCGGCTCGTTGGTCGCTCTATTTAGACAAATAAATATTTTTATTTAAATAAATAAAGCGACCTTACTGGCTGGGGATCGAACCCAGTACCTTCCGATCCGCAGATCGATACACTACCGCTGGAGCTACGGCCGGACAATTTGGCGAAGGAATTTTATAAATAGTTGGTTGTGCGTTAAATTAGTATAAAGTGTGTATATAAAGTGAGAAAATAAGATCGTTAAGTATTTTATCGTGAGTTTAAATTAGGGGATCCACGGAATCCGTAACAGTATGAATGTTTTATCTGCAACGTTTTGTCGACGCAAGCAAGTTGTACAATAAGTAGTTGTATGTGGACCGAGCTTATATCCCTTTATTTTAATACCATTATTTCATTCCATTTCAATACAAGTATACACTACAAGTAGTACCAGACAATACTAAACAAGACAAACTAGACAGAAAATTTGATTGTTGGACTTTTAATTTTAAAAATGCTATAACACATTTTGCATAAAACAAGCCAAAAACTCTATGTTACAAATTAGTGACAATCACATCCATGTCTGCCTATTTTTTAATAAATTCCAACTTTACACTCTCTATCTATTTTTATTGTTATTTTTTTTCTCTCTCTCCCTCTATTGATATATTAGTCAAAACTTTATCTTTGTCTTACTTATTAAAATACAGAGCATAGATTTACTCCTAATAAAATTTTAACTCCACCTCCTAATTTACTTCTAATATTTTAAAACACACATCATACAGGGTGGTCCACATTTTAATATCAGGTCTTAACAGTCGATAGAAGTGTTTTTGAGAAGAAAATTTCATATCAACATAGGGCCAAAAATGACATTTGTATTTTTAAAATAAGCTATTTTTGAATATTAAATTTTCTTCTTAAAACAAGTCCTTCTGTAGACTCTTAAATTCATGCTACTGAGAAGTGGATCACCTTGTAAATTTAACACGCGCTCTATACTTAAAAATCCATATTGTAGACGAATAAACAAACAAGGAAGACACCCTGTACATTAGAACAGTTTTTTTAAATACAATGCTAAAGTAAAATAACATTTTCAAATATTTATCTAATATAAATAAAATAGCTTAATAATAAATAACCATTGCACAAGTATTTAATCCGCATATAAAAAGATTTTTCTTACCATGAAAAATATGAAAAGAATAGGAGATTTCACACAGGATATTGATACATTTTACCAATTTTTTTCCATAGCAACTGTTAAAATTGCCTTATATCTATCAAAAATAGTAGATAAAATAATACTTTAACCACAAGGGTAGATTAAATGATACTTTCAGCGAGGATAGGTTAAAAAGTTTACTTCTTCTCGCACGTTTTTTAATTGCTTCTATTTTTGAAAATTTTTGTATTCCTTTTCATCTTCTTCTTCTTGTTTCACGATGACCACGCGCCTTTCGACGGCCAGTCAGATTTCCTTTTCATAAGTTATCCGGGATTTAATTGGAAGTAGTTTGGATATGGCGTTTGCCGCCTCAGCCTGAATATCTGTTGGTAATTTACTTATTTCGTTTTGAGCCATTTCTGGCTCCAATTCAATCAGCAATCGACACGAAAAAGAATACCCAGTCTACCCTCAAAAACGCAACAATTTAGGACACATTATATGAACTTTTATATTTAATTACCTTAAAAATCACCCTGTGAAATATCGGACGCTTATTCAGAAGCAAGTGTTGTATAATAATGCCTTTCTTTTTTTAATTACCTTTTCTAAAAAAAACCGTTCCTAAAAATTTTAGCATTTGTTCTGACACTCGTATATTAATTCAAAGTCAATGATATTACTTTCTGTATCAATAACCTGCGTATATAAAAAAGTGTCTTTTATTAAATGATGCAATGTTACAGAGGTTTTATGTACAATTATTTATAGATCTTACCCTACGAATCGTCCGAATAAAGTAAATACGCAAACGCGTGTCTGATATTTACTTGATCGTTGACTAAATTGATGACATATTTTCCCGATATATACTCCGCTTCGTTCGTGGCCTCTTCGATTATCGTTTCCGCCGTCTGAGCGTTCCAGCAGAGGACGCCGCGGTCGTAGAAGGCTATGACTATGCCATTTTCCACGCACACGCCCTTAAGTCTAAGAAAAGTGTTTGTTTCAGTTTAAGTCTATTTGTTTTTTGAATGGTTGCTTCATCTACGTTAACCGTAGATGGAGCTCAAGGCTTGGTAGGATTTGTATAAATACACCAAGTCAAAATCTTCAGTCTGATAAACTTAATACAGAGAATGAGAATAGCATACATGTAGGGATTAGGCCTTATTTTTGCTTTTTGTACTTTGTTCATTTATACAAACCCTACCAAGTTTCCAAAAATGGGTAATAGAACTCATTGTAAAGCTGCGTCCACGTTGCCCGCGAGCAGGCCGAACGAACACGTGAAACACGAAAAACATGGCAAACAGTCGGAGCGAGATGTTCGCGGCGCTCGCGGTGCTCCACGTTATTGCGATCACATGAAATGCCTGTTTCGACTGTTCGGCCACAGATTAGGTATACGATATGTATACAGATAAAAATCATATCCCTAATTCGTGGTACGAAAATTGTTTTTTATGACGATGAGCAAACGAGTAAAATTTCCTGTGCGCAAAAATAAACTCGCGTAAAATAACAATAAACAGCGTAATAGAGAGATATCGGTAAACCGAATAGCGTGCATGGACGTAAATAACGCCAGGTGTTATTTCCTTTACGTGAGGTGGTATTAACTCATTTATAGTTATCGGATCGGAAATAATTCTGTTCGCGTCGCGTCCCCTATCTAAACTTAACCTAACTTTGAATTAAAATCTTTGAAATTGTTTTGTTTAAAGGGCTAAAGTGCTTATTTCCAGTGCTTTATTGTTCAACGTCTGCCAGTGGGTTTAGGGCAACAAATTCTCTTAGAAGGACTAAGTCGTCATCTGCTGTAAACCTAAGCCTCTTTATAGGTTCTCTAATATTGGAAGAGGTGGAATCCATATTTGGGGCCATATTTATTTAATTAAAACTAATCCCAGCTACTTAAATATCAAATTACCTAATAAAAAACTAAAGTAATAATACAAAACAATTCAAACATAACCTAAAATAAAAGATCTCGCCGGCCGGCCCCGGTTGTCAAATACCCGCACATGCCCTTTAAGCAATTTTTAAACGATATTTAGAAATAGCGCTTGGTGTAATTGATCCGCAAATTACGTCAGGCGGTAACGTTATTAGCGGGCGTTGCGTTAAAAATTGACTCGCGCATATCGTAACTGTCAAAATAAGGTACGCGTAAATACTGCATGACACTATTCGGTTTTCCGATATCTCTCTAATAACTGGGCCGGTCAGGCGCTGTGCACAATTTTAGAGGCCATAAGTGGGAGTGCTATGTGCGCAAACTAGTAACCTAACTAGTGCCTGATTCCGAAAATTGGAACCACGAAAAACAATAAAGAAAAAACAAAAAGTTTATAATCTGTATAATCTGTGGTTCGGCTCTGTCGCGGTACATCAAAGAGACATGGTACAAAGAAAACAAGGTATGCTCGATAACGACTCCAATTTCGTTAAGTTAGCGCATACCACCTGTGACGTCATACGCCATACAAAAAAAATACCCATATTGTTCAATTGCCACTAATAAAAAAAGACCTAAAATAGGGAAGAATTAGGACATAACCCCAAAAGTTATGTCAAATCATCGAGCTTGACATTTGAAAAGTTATGACACATTTATTATGTGTCATCTGTTTGACAATTTGAAATTGGCGCGCGGAGCTTGCCGACCAATGGTGCCGTTTATCACCTGTGACGTAATGACCAACCTGCGCAATATCATACCTTGTATTCTTTGTATCATGTCAAAGAGACGCTTCAGAGCCATGCGAGCATACTTTACGGCGTTTCGAGGAGCTCAAGCTGTTTGCGTCGTTTGTTAAGTTTTTAGTTTGGTTTCATTCATAGGATTCGGTATTTACTGCAGTATGATGATGTATAGTATGACTACCATGATTTTTCTTATTTTATTTTGTTCAGAATTACAAATATTTGTGTTGTTCTTGGATTAATAGTATTAAATATACCTTTAATAAAATATAACTGTATATTTATATTGCGTACTATTTTTGAAATGCTTTGCTTGGAAACTTTGAATAAATAACCTAAACTGGTATGTGAGTCTCTAGTTGCAAGGAATCTTAATGTTATGGCCAATCTTTACTTAACACTTTCTTTAACCGGAATACACTTCCTAAAAGTTGTATTTTTTCTTTCTATACGGGGGCCAACTAAGTTAATAAGTCGTTCAAAATCAGTAGCGGACATGAGATGAAAATTATTAAAAAACATTCTGTCTATTTGTAAATCGTGTAGAAGTTTACTTTCACTGTGCTGGGATCTACTTTTGAAATTATTAGACATCCAACACCGCCTTTTTTTCTCTTTGTCTCCTTCGTTGTGCAATAATGGTCGCACTAGCAGCCGCTATTAAAAATACTTTGGTATCATCCATGTCCGAACAGCACGGACGCAAGCACTACTTTACAATGTGGACGCCGTTGCTTGCTAGCCGAAAGATCTTGAGAAACACGACAAACAGGAAGCGCAAGCAACGCAAGTACAATCAGAAGCAAGAGCGCGAGTAGGATGACGAGCAATGTGGACGCACCTTAATACCACTAATTTCATTAATAGTTTTGATTGGTATAGCTATTATTAAGACTCCTAAATAAATAATTTAAGTAATTATTTACTTATAAATAAAGCTTACCTATCATACTCATCAGGTGGAACATAACTTGCTAATTTTTTCCATGAATGATTCATGCCATGAATAGCAATTAATCGTAATTCTCTATCAACGCACTGTTGCAATGTGAACAAAAATCCCTAAAATTACAGAAATTTATCAAACATTTAAGAGCCGTCTACACATAACGTTATACCTGTCAGTTTTGCGTAAACCGAAGAGTCAGGTAAAACGAAAGACTGACTAGAATACCCTAGATCATATATAAGTATATATATATACGTAATACCCTAGATCATATATAAGTATATATATATACGTAATACCCTAGATCATATATAAGTATATATATATACGTAAGTACGTGGATAAATCAACGCCGTAAGTTTAGCATTAAAAAATATGTCTCCAACATCACAACATACCAATTTCAAACCTTCTTTATTGCACTTACGAAACGTTCAATAGGTTTGTCTTTTCGGAGGATCTTACTTTGCGCATGTGCATTAAAAGTTGCACGTATTTCCGAAATAATCACAATTTTATACGGTTTAGTAAGTACAAATTATACATTGTTATGGAAGACAACTTTTCATTATCATCCTATTGTCATAATCATATGTCATAATCTTATTTCCATTGTGTAACGACGCTTGTTTTTTGCGTTTTTTATTTTAAAAATTATATTAATTACTCTTATATCGGCCGCTTTTATACAGCTAAGGATGCGAGTGTGTTCAGTGAGAAGTTAATTTTAAGTTTGTGCAATTATATTTCTTTTTTTTTCGTTGGACTTTCTAAATACTCGTTAAAATGACTAGAAAGTGTTTGGTGTGTGGAGTTCTAATATAAAGGTCCCCGAATTTCTTTTCATAAGCAAGTAAAGTATTCAGTTGTTTTTTTGATTTCCTAAGAATATTAATATTCGTACGGAGTGGCTAAATGTATTTTTTATATAATTTAATTTTTGTGACAGTAAACATTCAAGTTATTGTTCAAATATATGCATTTTACAAATTAAATTTTTAAAATTAATGCTCAAATTTGGCGCGTGGACGATAGGTTCTCGACAAGGATAGACACAGTAGAAGCACCGCGTGTGCATCAAAAAAACAAGATAAATGGAAGTCGTTGATATGTTTGCGACATTTTCCATAGTGATTTACTTATCCACGTAAGTATATATGATCTAGGAATATAAATTATTTTCTGTCTATGTTGTTATCATCACTACCAATCTCTTGATTCTTATTGCATTCTTGCTACATATTTTTTTTGTTTCGTTATACACATTTTTTTCTTTTAATATAAGTTTCTTTAAATATAAAAGTGCTTAGATTAACGCTTACCCTATCACATTTCACCCACAATGTAGACAATGCAGACTTAATTTCTGTCATTTCGATTGTCGCCACGACGTATCCATAATCGATGTTCCACAGCGTTATCTTATTCTCACCATACCCGGCAACAATATCGTCGCAATCTGTAAAGAACACAGAACCAAAATAAATCTACAGTCTGTCCAAAAAAAGATCATGCGGCACTGGCAGTTATAGTATGCCATACCTTCGATGCTGTGCAACGACGAGACATAATGTTGGACCGACTCAAATTGGTCGATGCTATCGACAGTTTGGTAATCTGCCGCCAGTTGGTAGCAGTGTATGTAAGTTTTCTTGTTGTCCACTTCATTGGAGGCCACGTGCCTACTGACGATAATTTTCGGGACGGATTTCAAAACAGCATACTGTACATCGTCCGCAAATCTATAAAATATGACAAACCATTGAAATATAATTACAGTATTCTATTGGTTACAGCCAGCAATAAAGTGGGTCTCAAAATGAATTTAGCAAAAAATAAAGTGATGTATAACGAACTAGTGGAAAGAAAAGACATTCTAATACATAACAAGACACTGGGAATATTATATTTGAGACAACTAATAACACAGCTCAGGATCCCTATTACCAGAAATGAAAAGAATTAAGTTAAGTAAGCATGGAGTAAATAATATGGAAGAAACTCAATCATATTCAAATCTACTAGTGGAAAGACAAGACATTCTAATAAATAAAACAACACTGGAAATAGTAGAATATTATATTTGGTACAACTAATACACAGCTCGGGATCTCTACTACCAGAAATCAACAGAAGAATTAAGTTAGCATGGAGTACTTATGGAAGAAACTAAATCATATTCAAATCTAGAATGCCACTCTATCTAAAGAAGAAAACATCCCACAAATGTGTACTCCCAGTCATGACCTATGCATGCTAAACCTGGACACTTAAAACGGACATCATAAGGAAATTACAGGTCGCACAATGTTCAATGGAACGAAATATGCTGGGAATAACCATGAGAGACCATAAAAGAATAGAGTGGATACGACAAAAGACCCAGGTTATAGATATCATCCACAGAGTCAAATCCTCAAATGGCAATGGGCAGGACACCTTATAGCGTTTTTAAACCACTACCACTGCGAACGGCAGCTTTTCATTGGAGAGCAGTCGTGGATAAGGTATTTCACTGGAAAGAAAACTAATTAATAACAATAAACAAAAAATATGGATATTGGGCGCCAGGCATGTACAGGGTGGGTCAAATTTGACGCTTTTAAAAGGGTGTTTCTTTTCTATAGGAGATAGACAAAAACTAATATCGGTGTCTGGAGCTCAATTGTTGTCAAAAATATGATGGTGAAAACCGCATATCGCTATCTGTTACCGTTTCGGAGTTACGGGGTGTTTTTCAAAAATATGCATTTTTAACAAATCGCTGTAACTCTTTTGGTATGGAAAATTTTGTATCTTTATGAAAACATTTCCAAAGCACCTTTTTACGTAGAATTTAATGGTTTAAGTATATCTTTTTTTTAAATTAATAATTTAAGAATTATCAACGGAAAATTTGATTTTTTATATGGGACACCCTGTATATTTTTAATTTATTGAAAAGAATTTAAAATTACCTTTCCAAAAATATAACACACTTGATATTTTGCTCGATTCCTCTTCGAGATATAGAGTATATAAAAATTCGCCCGCTTTAAAGGCTTTGAACGGCACCGGCTGTAATACAAAAAAAATTCTAGCTGTGAGCATCAATTAAAACGAAAATAATATTTGCTATGAGAGATGCAGAATTTTATAACAATTTAAAATATATTTAACCAACATCAACACACATAAACTATATCTAATAACAATAAAAATAAATAGCAAACCAAGATATGAGATTTTGCTACAGGTGTTCGACATATCGACCGTCTTCTGTTATGGACAGACGGGGCAGTTTTTGAACATTTCTCGTGGAATTCATTAACTCAGTGGGGGTGAAAGATACCCTCTCATAACTGTTAAGTATTTCTAATTCTTGTCTAGATTATACGGAAGAATATGGAACCTTTATTCTTCCGCTAATATATCCATAGGATTAGATCCATGGGCACTAAGTCAGGCGGCCTCGACGGCCAACGGCTGGGATCTTGGTTAGCTATTCAATTATTCTTGAAATTGGCTGCAAATATTTGCTGATAACTTCAGCGTTCAGAGACGGTGCGTCGTCTTGCTGGAAAAATATGTTTTCGAGTTCCATTAAGGGCATATCATCAATAAGGGATCCAAAGCCTACTAGTTAAAAGTGGCGAACTTTTAAAAACTCTGTATTTCGACGGGGATTATAACAAAATATCAAGTGTGCTATATTTTTGGAAAGGTAATTTTAAATTCTTTTCAGTTAATTAAAAATATAGAGGGTGTCCCAAATAAAAAATCAATTTTTCTGTTGATAACTCTTAAATTATTAATTTAAAAAAAATTATACTTAAACCATTAAATTCTAGGTAAAAAGGTGCTTTGGAAATGTTTTCATAGAAATACAAAATTTTCCATAGCAAAAAAGTTACAGCGATTTGTTAAAAATGCACATTTTTGAAAAACACCCCGTAACTCCGAAACGGTAACAGATATTGATATGCGGTTTTCACCATCATGTTTTTGATGAAAATTGAGCTCCAGACACCGATATTAGTTTTCGTCTATCTCCTATAGAAAAGGGTGTTTCCATTTAAAAGCGTCGAATTTGACCCACCCTGTACAGAGAAAGAAAACACAGTTGTATAATACTTAAAACTTATGACTATATTTATTCATGGACTCTGATGGTAAATAACATTGTAAAATTCTAATCATTATAGTGGTTATGGTTATGTCGAAGAAAGATATGTTAAAATAGTACTAAATATGTTTAATGAAAAGACTATAGAAAATACAATATAGATTGGGCCATAGAAAATGTATAAAAGGTAGCATTACTTTAATTAATTTGTTAAATTTTATACGATATTAAATCTGAGATGTTTCAAGCCGTAGATTCTAGAATCGGTTCGGTTATTCATTTGTCAAAATGACGCAAGAATATATACAGAAAGTAATACTATTACAAAACGTAATGTTCGCAAAGAAACTAAGTCTAAATCATATTTTAAATACCAATCGGACATAAGTAATTTAACCACTAGTACAATATTAATTATTCAAGATGTATGTCATTGTTTTAAGACTGAAAATGTAACACATAAAAACCAGAACTTAAATTTAAACTTAGCTGATTGTTCTTGAGGCAATCCTGCTTCAAACAGTAACAGCGTGAGGTGGGACTCGTATCTCTGTACTGTCTCTCGGCCAATGCAACAAAAGGGGCCAGGATGAGGACACCATGAACTAATACAGCCGTAACTATCGATTAGGCTTAAAAACAGGAACGAAACAGCATGGGGCCTACGCCACATCCACGCTGGGGCACTCTGACATAGGATAAACTATCCGTACAGCGGACACTCGTCCATCGGACACCTGTCCATAGGAAAACTATACATGGGAACACTACCCGTACCTTAGAACACTACTAGGACCTTGGATAATGCCCGTGCCTTGGATACTGTCCATACCTTGGACATCCAACCATAGGATAATGTCCGTAACTTGGACATCCAACCATAGGATTTTAGAATTAGAATTTAGAATGAGTGGGAGGGGGGTTAATCACTTCGACCTTACAGATCCATTGTGTCCCCCTTTCTTGAATCATAACTCATCATAGAGTCCCAGGGCTTTGACAAAAGCCAGTATCTGTGACGGTTTTATAGAGGGTAGTTCTCCATCTCCAATATCAGTCGTACCAAAATTCATGGCACGAATGGTTGTCGTCTCGGCGCACTCAGTGATGAGGTGTACTGGTGTTTCACCATCTTCCCCACAGAATCTGCATTCGCCGTTTCTTCTTAGTTTCAATCTACTGAGGTGTTCATTGAGGAGACAGTGTCCTGTTAAAAAACCCGTGACAATCCGAAGATTGTTCTTACTCAGACCCAGGAAGATCTGCGATTTTTCTTGATCATAAGCCCTCAGAAACTTCTTCGAGTGTCTTAGACCATTGCAAGATTTCCATTCCAGGTTGCAACCATAGGATAATGTCCGTAACTTGGACATCCAACCATAAGGTAATGTCCGGAACTTGGAATCAATACATATATATGGGACACCTGCCCATACCTTGGACCCTAAAAATACGAAACTCTTGTTTAAAACCAAACAAGGTCTAATAAACAAAATAAACCTACCTCGAAACACATACGAGGGCTCAATAATAAACAAAAGAACTGTCCTTTCTTCCATATAACAGCAAAAGTACACCAACGTGCCAGCAAAATACAAATACGAGTTAAGGTGGGCCAATCCAAAACTCTACCCTAAAAATATTCAATAATAATAACGAATCTAATAAAGATAATATCTCATCTTTACCTGTAGCTTCGAAATAGCAGCCGATTCAAATTATACAGCAAGATTTAAATAATTGCAATTTCTCTAAGTCGGGACTATTCAGATGGCCGACGGCCAAACCCAAAGTGAAGTTAAGCGCGGGGAGCGAAACCTTGGAGCGATGTTAACAGCGCCTCCACAGAGCAGTGAAACGATAACAGGGTTGTTGAATGGAGAACGTAAAAATTACGCCAAGCGTGCCAAATAAATTATCAGGCCTGATCGATACGGGATCCGGTGACGATACGCCAGACATCATATATTATATATAAAAAAGACATGTAACGAACTAAAAACGTTACAACCTGGCATGAAAAACTGACAACAGATGGACCACAAAAATTACAGCATGGTACCCACGAGGAATTAAGAGACCTAGAGGAAGATCGAACCTGAGATGGGACTAAGATATTAGGAAATTAGCAGGGATAACTTGTTGTACAAAGAGAGTATGTAAGGGAGGCTACACCATAATTGGTTGATAAGCTGAAAATGATGATAAAGATGATGATTCTATTGGTTAGGTCAAATCTGTGTACAGAATCTTTAGATATTTTACCGATCGTTGCCAACCATGTATAAGTTCTCTATCATTCGGTTTAATTTTCTCATAATGACTTACCCATTGATATTTTCAAGTTGTAACACTTTCTTATCAAGACTATTTTGTCCTTTCTTCCAAAAATAGACAGTGGCAAATACATCTGCCACAGGACCCTCCCTTATGTCACTTTGGTGCTCTTTGATCCACAATTCTATATAGGCGATGTTAGTTTCTGTGGACACCACCATTTCCAGAGATTCCTTAAATATGCAGTTGTTGTTCATCGCTAGTCTCTGCACGTTTCCCTTGTGTATCCACATGTTTTGTGCACCTGAAACAACAGAATGTCTCATTAAGTACAACATAACAAATGTAGGGATTATCCAATACACGTCCAACTATAGAGTATATAACTGTGATAATTATTGTGACAGTTGTCAGTCATTTTCATCAAAATTAGATTCTATATTATGCCTATTTTGAATGTCAAAATCGTATCTTCTCTCCCTGGACAGACTGTATGATACAAAGTTTAAATTTCTATGGTGAAATATTGACGAACCTACTACTGTTCTATCGACGTACAGCTGCCGTTCGCAGGGTGTAAAAATAAAAAAAAACGCAACCAAAGACATTATAAAGATAGACCGAACATCTCATTCATAAATACTCGTTGGTAGTGTATCAAACATTCCAATGTGTCAAACAAGGACAGAAGAGACAGAGAAGTCTAAAATTTCCGACCCCGGCAACTAGGCGCATTTGGATTGTTCTAATGGCCAGTGGCGTATCGTTTTTTGGAACGAATTTAATTAGTAAAGTAAAAGTAAAGTAATTAGTAAAATTTTTACTCCATATTAATATACTACATTAACACTTTTTCGTCAGATGAGTTTTGTTATAAGGTTTAATATAATAATACAATTAATATCCCACATATACTTATGTTGAAACGTTAGTAGTTTTCGAAAATCACTCCAACGTCGATTTTCAATTTAAACTTTCAGTTACTTCTATATAAACTTTCAGTTACTTTTGAATATTTACAGGGTGACTCAGGCTTCCGAAACAGTTCTATATTAGGTTTGTGGTTGGTGACTTTTCTTTCAATTTTTTTTCAGAATATGGAGGCATTTAGGCACATTTAAGACATTTTTGTAAACATAGGTGGCCGGAACATATTTTCAAACCAAAGTTGTAGATTTGCCATTGAATTTCCATTCCAGAAATACCTAAGGTTGCCACTTGTCCGTTTTTGAAAAGGACAGTCCTTTTTTGGAATAACTTGTCCTTTTGACTTTTTTTGACTTAAAAAGTCATTTTTATTTACGTATTTTCCCTGAGAAAATTACCTACAGCAAACAGAAATATTCTTTTCGCCCAAATTTAATTAGGAATGTTATACGTTAAACTTAACTTATAAATAAATTTTTCTTGTTTAGAATAGGCAACATTAATTAGAACTTCCCGTTTAATCTCAAATGATAGTTTAGGTTTTAGTTTTACCTTTTTTTATCTTAAAAAGAACTTTTCAAAATTAGGCACCTAATTAGTAACGATTTAGTTAGTTCGCAATCGATAGCTTCCTGTGAAGTACTGTGTAATAGTTGTTTAATCTTGTATTATTAATAACTTCCTATACCTAAAATCAATATTTAATGAGAAAATTGTATTTTTTTTGAAAATATAAGACAAGATTTCACTCTTTCGGTCTTCTTCTTGTATTATGATGGCTCTGATACGAGGCAATTGCCTTTTAGTCTCGTAATAGAAGGCATTTATCATTAAAAGTATAAAATCTGTGTGCTACAGTATGGGATTTCTACATAAAAATGAATACCTATTACGTTTATTTACAAATACATTACTTTTAAAGGTAGCTTCATCAGATAATCAAATTTTAATCAAAATTATGTCCTAATCTTCATGAACTGTATTAAGCATATGTATTGCGGTTTGAATCACCCTGAGTTGTATGTATGCCTATGTATTGCGGTTGAATCAACCCTCAAAAAATTGAAATAAAAATCACAAACCAAAAACGTAATAGGTAAAAAGCTTTTTTGGAGGCCTGGGTCACTCTCTATATAGATATGTATAAAACTAGTAGCCTAAGAATTATTTACAGTTCGTCCCATTCTAAAAAAAGTTAAACACACCGTACAAATAACTCTAGGAAGATGTATTTGTACGGTGGTAAAAAATTGTCTAAACAAGGCCGAAGGGGCAGATATAATAAAGCAATAAAATGTAAAAAAGGACGGGTAAACACCTATGTTTATTTATTGAGCAAAATTCCTTTAGAATAACGTATATAATGACCAAAATAGGACGCAATTTTAAGAAAAAAATGTCACTTTCTGGCTTATAATAAAGTTTCAAATGTAACGTTTATATTTAAATTTGTTATGATCTACAACAGTTAGGTAGTAATTGAGACAAATTATAATTATTCAATTACCGGCTACTACGTTCTTGTTTTAGTACAAAATTCAACAAATATAATTAGAAATTATTTTAAATGTGAGAGGCTCCCTTGTGGGACGCCTATGTACGACTACGGCGCGGCGGAAACAATACCTACCTGTCGAAAGCCAAATTCGGGTAATTTGAGCTTATTTGTCCACACATTTGACACTGTCGTACCATATTGAAAATTCGCAGATTCAAAAGTTTCAGTTTTGTACATTAAACAAAAACAAAAACTACTGAAAAACACTGAAAAGTTCACTTTGGACTTGATTCCGACTTCAAACACACCGTAAGCTAAACGTAGTACGCTATAACGGACCATGGGCCGTCGCGAAGGGTGGTGGGACGGACGGCTCATTTCATTCTGGAAGAGTAGCAGCGACGTTGCCAATAGTTCTAGACGTTTCAGCACATTAAACAGTAAACATGTCCTTTAATAGTAACGCATATATCCTCTGGTTAATAACATATTATTACGCATGCTTCTTTAAAAATAAACTATTAATTTAATTAAGAAATTGAGATTTATTGATATCCGGTGAAGGTTTTAAAGTAACCTTTTCTGCAAATCAAACTAAGTAGATAGGCGCAAATTTGATATGTGGCAATGCCGCCTTCTCTATCTCAGTTGGTTTTTACAGTACGTAGTTAATCTCCGTATGTTTGATCGGGTTAAAATGCATAATGTGATATCTGTTCTTCCTAAATCTATGAACGCAACACACTTTTTTTGGCGCCCAACGTGGGCCTAAATGAAACTAAACAGCTATACACCACGACATACACACTGTGAGCTAAAATTAAATATTGTTTTGTCGTATTTCTCCCAATACATGAAATGGTAATATTGTAAAAATATGTTGTAAATTTTTAAAATAAATGAACGTAAGATTTTATCCAACTTAGACTTAGTTGTTATTTTGAAAATCGATGTTTATTATTTTATTGCTATTTTAAACTATTTTGGTATGATTAATTTTGAAGATTTATGAAAATTTATTCTAAAAATGGTGATATTGTACAAAGTGGTTGACTATTTTATGACCAAATAAATAAAGAAATAATATTTGAATAACCCCCTTGTACGACGCGGAGGCTCAGAGAAAAATGACACTTTGTATTGATAAGAATGGTTGCACTTTTCTACAGGGTGTCCCTAAAAAAGGTACAGGGTGGGTCAAATTCGACGCTTTTAAATGGAAACACCCTTTTCTATAGGAGGTAGACGAAAACTAATATCGGTGTCTGGAGCTCAATTTTTCTCAATATCTGTTACCGTTTCGGAGTTACGGGGTGTTTTTCAAAAATGTGCATTTTTAACAAATCGCTGTAACTTTTTTGCTATGGAAAATTTTGTATTTCTATGAAAACATTTACAAAGCGCTGAAGTTATCAGCTAATTTTTGCATCCAATTTCAACAATAATTGAATAGCTAACCAAGATTCCAGCCGTTGGCCGTCGAGGCCGCCTGACTTAGTGCCCATGGATTTGCGGAAAAATAAAGGTTCCTTATTCTTCCTTATAATCTAGACAAGAATTAGAAATACTTAACAGTTATGAGAGGGCATCTTTCACCCCCACTGAGTTAATGAATTCCGCGAGAAATGTTCAAAAACTGCCCCGTCTGTCCATAACAGAAGACGGTCGATATGTCGAACACCTGTAGCAAAATCTCATGTCTTGGTTTGCTATTTAGTTTTATTGTTATTAGATATAGTTTAAATGTGTGTTGATGTTGGTTAAATATATTTTAAATAGTTATAAAATTCTGAATCTCTCATAGCAAATATTATTTTCGTTTTAATTGATGCTCAAAGCTAGATTTTTTTGCATTACAGCCGGTGCCGTTCAAAGCCTACTTATTTAAAGCGGGCGAATTTTTATATACTCTATATCTCGAAGAGGAATCGAGCAAAATATCAAGTGTGTTATATTTTTGGAAAGGTAATTTTAAATTCTTTTCAATAAATTAAAAATATACAGGGTGTCCCATATAAAAAATCAAATTTTCCGTTGATAATTCTTAAATTATTAATTTAAAAAAAAGATATACTTAAACCATTAAATTCTACGTAAAAAGGTGCTTTGGAAATGTTTTCATAAAAATACAAAATTTTCCATAGCAAAAAAGTTACAGCGATTTGTTAAAAGCGCATATTTTTGAAAAACACCCCGTAACTCCGAAACGGTAACAGATATCGATATGCGGTTTTAACCATCATGTTTTTGACAAAAATTGAGCTACAGACACCGATATTAGTTTTCGTCTATCTCCTATAGAAAAGGGTGTTTCCATTTAAAAGCGTCGAATTTGACCAACCCTGTACACATCAAAGTTGCGTTTTTCTTGTAATGAAACACCCTATATATTGATTTTGATATTGATTACCCTATAAATTTGCTTTATCTTTGACTCTAAATATAGATTTTTTTTATTATTAATATATAACCTTTGTTATTATGCAGTATTCAATGTTCTAAATGACTTGGAAATAAAGATATTGTATTATTATTATTATTGCACACTGGTCACTTTTGAAAGTAAGTTACTGTTTTATTTTAAATGGTACACCCAGTATATTATTCCGATTTTCGATGGAGAATTCATGTCTCTTCAAAAAAAAACTCTTAAGGTTGCCTACCCATCTGATAAAGACTTTTAAAGAATGTAGAGTAAAATACTCAAAGGTAATTAAGTTTAAAAAAAATATATTTTCGTAAAATGTGGTCTTTCATTTTAGATAAGTAAAAAAAACTGCAAAATCATCACCCCATACAAAAAAGAACACTAGTAACAAAATAAAATTACCTAAAACATTTCCTAATGCTGTCTGAGTCCAAAACGATACCATAAACTCCTGGCACAGAATCAAATTATAATCTAAGTAAAACGCCTTCAAAATGCTTCCATTATCGGGTGAAATATTGATCGAATGCCGATCTTTCTTTGGTTTCTTAAAGCTATCCGAAGTCCAACTACTTGGACTACCCTGTTGCAACAAATTATTTGCATTATTTTTCCTGTTGCTTGTATTTAAAGAACTATGCAATGACTTAATAACTATATCCTTTTTCAAGTCGAAAATATTAACAATAGGTTTGTGAATAATCGTCCTTTCACTGATTGGGGTTGTAGTTGAATCATCTACATTCCTTTCAAGTGTTTTCACATCAGAATTCATCTCAGTAAAACTTGGAGCATCATCAGATTTATCATTAGTGATAAGAATTTGATCTTCTGTCTCACTAAAAGACTTCTGTAGCTCTATACTATCTGTAAAATGTTTCATATTGTCATCGTCCAAGTCATTGTTCTTTTCTGTTTCTGTACTTGTACTATCCTTTTGAGAAACATCGACTAGAGATGTATAAATATCATTGCTACTTGTACAAGTATTCAATAACAATAAACTTCTTTGATGTTCACTGCTTAAACTGTTAAAATCACTTTCAGGTATGAAGGAATGCAGATCTATCGATTTGCTTTGAATTTGGCTACTGTCATCAACTATATCGATCTGTTCAGTAATCTGATTAATTATATTACTAAAACTTGTATTTTCTATGTTATCTTCTTTTAGAGATCTATTTGCTGCATCTAACTTTCTAGCAAGTTTGTTTTTATCTTTCATTCTTTGATACTTCCTTAAATGAGACCTGCCAATATTTCTGTTCCTCAAAGAATGAATTATGTCTGATATTAATTGCGGTCGATTTCTTGTTATTCTTCGACCAACTGTATCTTGGACAACTTGTTTTTTTCTATACACTCTTTTTTTAGGAGTATATTTCTCTAAATTAGATGTTTTTATTGACTCAATTGCATCATCAAAATCGTGAACCATGGATATTAATTCTTCTGGAAGTTTAGGTAATTTAATTAATGTCATTTTTTCAATATTAACCTTTAGATCACAATTTTTATCCAAAAAACAGGTTGAACATGTATCAAAGTAACTGACAGTTTGGGTTAGAATCTCTGAAGGTTTGGGAAAACAAAATGTATTATTAAGAGTGTTTTTTAGGCCATTGTACTTTAACCATTTATGTTTCTTTTTCTCCAAAGACACGTCCATTGTACAGTCTGATGATTTGATGTCATTATAATCATCATGGAGATTCATATCATTATGATTTTCTTTGAGTTTCTTTTCTAGTTCTTTCTTTTCTTGCATCATACATAAATTCTTTACACGTACTGATCGACGGTTCTGTAAAATCATTACAGTCTTCTTGTCAGAGGGTTTCATAAGCTGCAAGTAACTACATAGCTCTTTTTTCTTCTCACTTTCAGGACTCAATGGAACCTCGTTTTCATAATCATCAAATTGGTCTGTATGGCCCTTAAATTGTCTATGATCTTTTATATATATTTTCGGTTTGATTTTGTTAGGTTTAGTGTACTGCTCTGGTATATCTCCATTAAGTATATCATTTGAAGTACCTTCTGTAGAGTATGAAACTTTTGTGGCTTCATAATTATTGTATTTTTTCATACAATATTTCTCTAGCCGATCTAAAACAAATATAATTACTAATAGAACTTGAAAATTGGTAACATCTGCATACCTGTAGTTAAATGTTTGTCAGTGAGGTCAAATGTTTTATAGTCAGAGGTGAACATATTAGTTGGCATATCTGATTCTAGGTCCAACCCATTATCACTACAGCCACATCCAGACTTTGTTGTACTATCATTATTCCCTACGTATCCTACGTGAAGACTATTTATCCAGTTATTTATTTTTTCTAAAGTGCAAGGGGTACAATTCGACTGCTCTCTGTCACAAGAATTCAGAGAATCTTCCCAGCTTTCTGGTAGAGTTTCTAAATTTACATCTGTAGATTGTAGTCGGACTTTGCTTCTAGATTCTTGTTTTCTTCTATTAGATCTTGGTAAAGTTTTTGTATCCATTAAGCCATTTAGAGATATTTTTTGAGGATATAATTTACCTCAGGCATTGGCGTTCCATTTGCTTTTGTGTATCACTTTTCAACTAATGTAAGAATCTCTATTAAAATACACTAGAACCGACTGAAAAATATTAACTCTAAGTAGGTACACATTAATATTCTCTATCATCAGTAAATTAGAAACTTTTCAATTTTACTAATTTTACGTTTACGTCTGTTTCTGTTTGCGATCCTGTCATTCATTTACGTTTTCAGACGTTCGAAAACAATGCCCTCTGGCAGTTAAATTTTCCAAAAGAAGCTCAAAGAACTGTCAGAAAAACGTTTTCCTTCAGAACGCGCATATTTCAAAATTAGTTAAGGCCATTGCCCATAGGTTTCGGTCTTCTTTGGGAGGTGGCGACCTCTGGTTGTGGTATTTCAAAACAGAATAGCAAATAAATTCATAAAATGGCGTCGCTCAGTGAGTGAGACGTGCGTTTATATTAATTAAAATTGTGAATTAGTGATATTTGTGCGAATTTTAATATTAAAAGACTTTATTCTCATAGGTAAGTGCACATTTTAAGATTGTATGTATTTTTTATGAACCCAGCGTCAGTCAAATAGGCTAAACTTTGTGCAAGAAGCTATTGAGCTTCAAACTTGTACACATATCGATATTTTGAGAATATTTATTATCGTAGATAATTTGGATTTGCTCTTTATGTAGCGATAAGGACAAATTTAACACTATTGATTTGTTACGGTTTTTATTTATTTTATTTGGTAGCAGTTTAATTGAAATGCCATATTAACAATTTGAACCAAGAAGTGAAATAAGTACCTTGATCAAAAAGTGTTATAACATTGTAAAGCCGGCTGTAGACCATCACTGTTCGAGGAATTCGCATTTTGCATAAGAATTTTATACCTATCTGTGAACGTTCAAAGCCTACTAGACCATACTGTATTAAGGGTCAGTATGAAGTACGATTAACCTAAAATATATTACATATATTATGTATAGAGCAGTATAGAGATTATAGAAATAAGTCAAGGCATTTTTTTATTTTGTATACATACATCATACATATACCTATATCTAGCTTTTTTGTCAGTAGGTATACCTAGTGTATAGGTACAGTTTACCTGTTCTGTGGTACAGTTTTCACATTGTATTTTATGTGAAATAAAATTTTTTTGGTTTTGAAAAATTACAAACCGTAGAGTCTCTAGAACCTTACAGAGCCTCATTCAGAACCTTGTAATTAGTGGTTTAAATTATACTTTATACTTATGAGTTTACGATCATACACAGTAATCATAAACCTTTTTACTTACACTGTCTTACGTGAAGAATATCACCACTGAAATCAACATCATAGTCATTAAGAAACAAAAAGTCCTCAAATGATCACGTTTCTTTGGCGTCGATTATTTTACGAGAACTTTAAATATAAATGTACAATTATTTATACTTTGTACAAAAATTGCATCGAACTAGCCCTGAACACAATGTCGATGATCGATTTCTAATCGTATGCGCACCATTAAACCGATCGAAAAATTGTACAGAAAAAGTAAAGATAGCCGCGAGTTTTTCAAGGCTGCATATAATATCGGCCTGAATATACTGTACAAAAAGGAGGTCTGTAAAAGTAATATATGCATGTACTTTTAAGGTAATTTTTTTTATAGTTTGAGACTTTTACCAAACCTACAACATTGTATTGTACTACTAAAAACTATTCTAGCATAGTTCTATAAATGTCACTTATGGACAAAAATGCCTCTGTAAAAAACAGACCAAAGACCCAAAACTCTGCTGCCGACCTTGTATATAATTTTTAATGACAAACGTCTATGATATATTTTCAGAAAAAGATAGATGTAGTGGACAAAATACAATATTTAATTTTGATTCGTCTTGTACCTATACAGGGTGCTACAAATTCGAGGTACGAGCATTGGTATCTCGGTAAACTTAATAGATACGTACATGATTAAATTAGGGCAAAGTTGCGCTTTTGGGATGTTCACCAAGATGCCATCAAAAAAGTTTTAAAAATTTCAAGAATTGCTGAGTTTTTTGTAGTGATGTTGGTAGCGAATATTTCCATTCGAATTTTGCAGGAAATTTCCGAAATATTCGGTCCCAAAATCGCGAATATTCGCAAAAATCCGAATTTTGCAAGAAATTTCTTTTCAAAATTCAAGACATTGAGCAAAAATTTAACGAAAGTGTATCAAGTATGCCGATTCTTGAAAGTCAGAAGAAAAAGAATGCTTCTCCGCCTTACAAAATAAAAAACCTATGGCTCTTGAACCAATGCATTTTGCCGCGAATCTCTTGGACCCCTGTTTCCTGGGAGAGCACCTTAACAATGAAGAACACATAGCCTCTATGGAATTTATCAACAATATCACCAACAATCATCCTCAGTTTGTCAATAATACGATATTTTTGAAAGTCGATAAAATTATGATTTTGATCCAAAAAATTCTATTTTGTGCGAATTTGTCTAACCAAAGAATGCCTAGATTTGCCAGACAATTTTTTAGATTGGCCAAAGAATGCCTAGAAAAGCTGAACAAATTAGGCAAAGAAAATAAAGTCCTTCCTCTCTGGGTGCCCGCTTACTAAGCGATAGAAGGCACTCCACTAACTGGACCAGAACCGTTCTGTTTTCCAAGCGGAAACACATCCGTAACCTGGAATGGGAGTCCTTCAACGGTCTAAGACACTCGAAAAAGTTCTTCAGAACAATCAAAGATTTTCCTTGATAGTTTGAGTAAAAATATTCAAACAAACAAACAAATAAACAACGCTTTATTGTGCAAAAAGCCAAAACAGCTTCATCGACAAAGCACTCACAAACAACAAAATCACAAAAAAATACAAACAACAAAAAATACACAATACAAATAATACAATTCAAAAAAATTTAAGTTTTTAAAATTACAAAAAGAATATACATGGACAATTTTAGAACAGTACGCAGTAAATAGATATCCCTCCAGAACCACTAGAACTCGTGGAGGTAGAGGTCCATCCTTCAGAATCAGAACCAGATGATACAACAAATATATCTGATTTGGAAATAGAAACTGACGAAGACAGTACTACTACTACTATAATACCCTATGAAGATGGGACCAGCTCAGCGCTTGATATTCCGGAATAGAATAATTCAGTTATTTGTGTTTTACGTTTTTTAAATTTATATTTCGTGCTTTTTTGTTTTTTTTTTAATTCATAGTCATAGTTCGTGGTTTATGCACAAAATACAAATGTTACCAAATGATTTTTGTTATGGGTTATGTATTGTTTATTAAAAATATAACAACTAATATTATGTTTATTGTTTTTTTTTCCACTTACGTGTTGGTATCAAATGTCTATCTAATTTAGTCTTTTATTGTATCGACAAAAAATATGTAAAATTTCCTAATATTTCATAAATTTCCGAAAGTTTCAGAAATTTCCTGCAACAGCCAAAAATTTCTGAAATACTAACATCACTAGTTTTTTGGAAAAAAACGGATTTTTCTGAAAATTAATTTTATTTTTTCCTGTCGTTACTTTTAAGAAAATCAAAAAACTAATTTGCACATTCTTATAGCCACTTTATTAGGGCTATCTGATTGTGAGATACAGCGGCCAACTAAATTTTTTAAATACGGACCTGTATTTTTTATTACAGATTTTGAAAGAACTCGGAAAAAACAATGATATGCCACACTTTAAACATTTTTTTTTGTTTTGGGTATCTTAACAACAACAAAACTATTTAATTATTATTTAAAATAATTTCAAGTCCGACTCTGGTTTTTAAAATTATTTAATCTGATTATATTCATCGCAACAATATTGATCAGCGCTAATTAACATTGAATAAGGAAAATCGAGCCAATTGGAAGATTCAAATAAATTATATCCAGGTCAGCAATTTAAAGATATTATTTTTAACTTTTTTTATTGTGAATTTGAAATCTCATTGTGCGATCTAATAATATGCGTAATATTAATCGTAGTTATTATAAATAAATCTTCTGCAAACTAGTTTCTAATGCTTTACATGTTCGAAAGGGTTACCAGTTACCACCCTCCTTATAGCACAAATTTATTTTTCGTTCAATTTTATTTATAGCTCTTTGAACTTTCTTATACTTCCGAGTACTCTTTGTTGTAAATGTTGAGATGTATTGATTTCTCTTTTACAAATGACGTGAAGTAATGTATTCATTTGTATATTATTTTTTATTATTTTATTGCATTTGATTTTCCATATTCAATGTTTTACCCCACGTCATTGTTAAGTTTGAAAGCTTATCTCCATATTTTAACGATGAATAGATTAAATATTTAAAAAGAAAACAGAGCCGGACTTTGAAATACAATTGTGTTCAAATGTCCGAAACAAAAAAAAATATTAAGTGTGGCATATCATTGCACTCAGGAGACCGAGTTCTTTCAAAATCTGAAATAAAAAATGCAGGTCCGTATTTAAAAAAATTAAGTTGGCCTCTGTATCTCACAAATTATCAGCTAATTTGAAAATCTAAAAATACTATCAGATAGCCCTTATAAAGTGGCTATGAGAATGTGCAATTAGTTTTTTGATTTTCCTAAAAGTAACGACAGGTAAAAATAAAATTCAATTTCAAAAAAATCCTTTTTTTCAAAAAACTCAGCAATCCGTGAAATTTTTAAAACTTTTTTGATGACATCTTGGTGAACATCCCAAAGCGGCAACTTTGCCCCAATTTAAACATGTTCGTATCTATTACGATTACCGAGATACCAATGCTCGTACCTCGAATTTGTAGCACCCTGTATACTGAAGGTTTTTTTATGAGTGATTTTAATTTAAAAAAATCACCCTACCTGACACGTAAAGCTGACAGGTAAAACGTTACGTATAGACGGGGCTTCAAAGCTAGATTTGTGCCAATTTTTGTATTTTGCTCAACCCTGATTGTTTATTTCGCGTTCGCGCATGGATCGATTCGTATCTAGCACAGACGTCCGTTCATTTTCCGTCTCGTTTGTTTTCTCGTTCCGCGTTTAGGTGTCGACGAACGACCTATAGATGGCGCGAACCGTCGACAATCACAGTTATTCGGCCGGCTGTTGCCAAGCCCGCCGCGGAAAACACTTTTGATGACGTGCGGCCGCGAAACGCTCGATTTAGATGCGGCGTTGCCGTTGTGACCGGCCGTCGGCGGCGCGACAAGGTTTGTTTTGGTCGTTTTTGTTCGAGAGAGAGTTTATTGATTGGACGCGACCGTTGTTTTCCAACGCTAGGAAAATATCACGGAAATTGATGCGATACGGATGATTACAGCATCTATTTTAAGTGCTCCTCACGTATTATGAAAATAAGTTAATTTGTTTATTGTTTGTTGGTTTTGCGCCAATCGAAAATGACCTTTGGCAATATTAAACTTTGTTTAACAATGTTCGTGGATACTATGCTATAAGTTATTACAGACTTTAGACAGGAGTACCTACGACATGCACTTTTTACTTTTCTCTGTCTAGATTGTAGATTGAAAGAAGAATCAC